GACAGTGTGTGGCTTCCAAGTGTAGGTCATAAAAGGTAATGAAGCCTCTGTTTGGTCTCTGGGATCAATAGTTTCGGGGTAAGCCCGCCTCCATGCCATAGGATACTCAAGCTGCTCTGGAAGAAGCCCACATGAAGAGGAACACAAGCCTCCTGCCAACTTGCCAGCCATATGAGTGAACCACGTTGGAAGCAGATCCTTCAGCCCCAGCATGACTAGTCTCAGCTGATCTGACTGTCATTTTGTTAGAGATGCTGAGCGAGAATTGCCCAGCCAAGACACTCCTAAATGTCTGACCATGGAAACTATGAGCATAGCTCATCATTGGTACCTCAGAAGTAATTATTTACCGTCCCATATCATTTATTATTTCACACATACTAATTTGTAAAGATAAAGACGATGTAGATTTCTTCTGTGTTTCCTACAGCACCTAGCACAATGCCACAAGTGTAGGAGCTACTCTAGTGAAATAATTTTTTTTTTTTTTTTTTTGGTGAGGAAGATTAGTCCTGAGCTAACATCTGTTGCCAAACCTCCTCTTTTTGCTGAGGAAGACTGGCCCTGGGCTAACATCCGTGCCCATCCTCCTCTACTTTATATGTGGGATGCCTGCCACAGCATGGCTTGATAAGGGGCACGCAGGTCTGTGCCCAGGATGTGAACACACAAATCCCGGGCTGCCGAAGCGGAACGTGGGAACTTAACCACTACACCACCGGGTTGGCCCCTAAATGATTTAATTTTTAAATTTGTCATCTAGTAGAATCAAAATCTGAGACAACAGTACTTTCTCCTTAGTCTGAATTCCACAATTATTGCTTTGTCTACGGATTGGAATAAGCAACTTTCAGACTTATTGTTTTTATAAAGTTCATACAAAGTTGATTAAAAAATAATTTTAGAGGTATACAGAGGTATATATATTTCAAATTAAACCTTAAACTCTTTGCTCGGTATATGTGTAAAAGGCACTCAGATTAATGAATTAATACCTCTATTGGTCAGGGTTCTTCAGAGAAACAGACTAATAGGATCTATCCATCCATCCACCCATCCATCCATCCACCCATTCATCCATCCATTTATTGGAAAGATTTATTTTAAAGAATTGGCTCACACAATTATGAAGGCCAAAAAGTTTGAAATTTGAAGGGTATGCTGGCAGGCTGGAAATTCAGGCAGGATTTCTATGTAACAGTTTTGAGGCAGAATTCCTTTTTCTGTGGGAAATCTCAGTTTTTGCTGTTAAGTCCTTCAACCAATTGGATGAGGCCTATCCACATTACGCAGGATGATCTGCTTTACTTAAAGTCAAGCAACTGTAAATGTTAATTACATCTACAAAATATCTTCACAGCAACATCTAGACTAGCGTTTGAACAAACCCACGGGCACCATAGCCTAGCCAAGTTGATACATTAACCATCACAATACCATATTTGAGAAAGTGGGCTTTTTGGGGGGATTTATTTGATTTTTTTTTTCTTTTCTGTACCACTATACATCCCACACATTGAGTATTCCAAATGTTCTGGGCATCACATATGCCACAAAATCAGAGGCACATTATGCTAAGAGTTAATCACCAACATAACCATTAGTAATAGTAATAAAAATCCTGTCTAATGAAGTATAGAAATACATCTTAGAAACTTAATTTTCTATAAGTGTTCATTTATGAAAAAAACAATTTTTTGTAATATTAAAACAGGGAATCTAAGGCAGGAATGTTACCCATCACAACAGTTAATAAAATGCCTCCCATCACAGACTCAGCTTTTAAATATGTAGTAACACACATTCACAGAATTGCCAAGTTATTCTCCAGTAAACTCTCCAAAAAAAACTATAATTCAAAAAGTGTTTCTATATTGGAGAAAGAAGCTTTTTCCCAGAGAAGTTATATGCAAATATCCAGAAGTTTTACCATTTACAAGGTGACAGAAAGACAGATGAGGAGAGAATGATCTCCAGGAATATAACCTTCCCCTTCCCAAACTTCCCAAATATGACTTAATGAGAGTCAGTCACGAAAAGCTGGGCTGAGCAGGCCAGAAGACTGACTGACAGTAATTCTTGAGGTTTTATGAACTAGTGGAGATGTTTGAAAACTCTCAGAGAAATGAAAAAGCCCAGCCAGTTACCATTTCCCAAGTGATGTTTTATGTATAAAACATATTTCCAACTGTAAAGGTTGCACACAGCCCCTTATTTATCGGCCTTTTATTGAACAAAAGGCTGGTAGCATGGGCTACATGGACTAACAAGGGCATATGCATACGGCAACAGTCTCAGAAGCTTTTCCTACTTAAGAGCGTGACTATTCTATTTTAGCATGATTTAGTGAGATCTTTGTTGCAGAAAATTAGTGACCCTATAAAAGCAGGGCTGGGAAGACTGGCTGGGACTGTCTTCCCACAATTGCAGAATTGGGTTTTTGACTTAGATAAAGACTCTAAGGAAGGGTTGGAAATATAAATTCATATGTCCCTATTGGTTCACAAACTCAGGATCCAAATCGACTGTTTAAGGTCTTGAAACCAAACTGTTTGAAAAGTTTTATTTGGTAGCAGAAAATGTCCACAATTGGATCTTCACAAAAGAAAATGTGCAAGAGGGGAGAAATAAATTGATAACACAAGATTTTGCTGTTGAAATTTGGGATGATGATCACCAATTGATTTAGGTTACAACAACTCACACAAAGCGATGTCTTTTTATGTAAAGGAAGCAGAAGCTGTGATAATCACTTGACTAAACATTTTCTTGAAATTCATAATAGATATTATACCGAACCTAAAGAAAGATAAGTCTGTGGAAGAGAACACAAACTAAATTATTTCAAGCTGTAGTAATATACAAACATATTTAGTCAGACTAAAACCAATTATCTCCACAACCTGACAAGTGATTTTTCATCCCATCAAGCCCATGAGGTCAACATTCATTTACACCATAGCTTTTCATCTCATAGTTGTCAATATTTTAAATTATATACAGATTTACACATATCAAGATGTTATTGACAATAATTCTTATCTTAGGATCTCTTTGTGTTTCCACTTGATTTGGTCATATGTACAATCCCTGTCATGGACCTGATTGCTTATCTGACAGTGGAGGACAAGACCCACCGAAATGACCCAAAGATAAGAACTGGAAGTATTGGCCCACCTAATTGTTTCTAAAATTCTAAAGGCTGTGTATTCATTCAAAATACTAATACTAGTACAAAGTACTGACACAATACTTCCAATGGGCCCCATAAAGAGGCACTAAGAGTGTTTGGGAGCATCCAAGAATTATGTTCAATGTCTACGGTATAGTGTACTGACATACAATAGTTAACATTTTTAAAAAATTTATACTGTTTTCACTAAAAGGGGAAAACAGACAACTTTCCACTAGTAGGAAAAACAAAACAAAACAAACACTGGTGTTCAATTTTCACTGTAAATGCATTTATGAATATAAAGATAGTGACCCACATTAGTTAAATGTAAGAGTTCAGAAGAAATTATGACTTATGACCTTAATGTACAAGTATAGCAGTATTTCTATATCAAATTAAATTTAGTTTATGATTAAATACAATGCTATACACACACACACACACACACACACACACACACACACACACACACACACTCATAGTACCTTTATGGAATTCTCTAAAATGCTCATAGTAGCTTACAAAGTATTGATTTAAAAAAGATGAAAATGTATAAACTAGAGTGTAGATAAACACAACATTCTATAGCTTACTAAATGATACCTTCTGTGGGCTAAATAGCTTAAATTATTCAAGTTTGAATTTTGATTTTTGAAAGCAGAACTGTGCTTTGGTATTCAAACCTTCATAAAATTTTACAGTTTTTCAAAATAAGGAATAAAAGGCAGAGAACATCCAACATGTGGGAGAAAAAGACTTCTAATTTATAACATAACTATCACATGCTTAACCAGTGGTTTTCGACCAAACCAGTGGTTTCTGGCCAAAACTCAGCTTCTTGGAGGTAATTAAGGTTATTAAAAGGGTTTGACTCAAATTTCGTTTCTATAAGTGCATATTTTAAATAAAACAATAAAAATACACATTCTAATGTGCTACATACCCCTTTTTTTATCATTCTGGAGACTGATTATGTATTAACTTCTACTACCAGGATCATTTATTTTTGTATGAACCTTAGACTATAACTTCAGCTATCTCTAATTAAAGAACCTCCTAAGACGTGTGTTTAAAACCTGTTATTATTTGCACTTATGTTTGTGTGAATCACAATTTTCTTAATAGTATGAAAATAAAACAAGGTATAGAAATAAATGGGTTGCTGAGGTTTTTCGCTATCTATAACCCCAATTTCACATTTGTGTTATTCAGAAATTTTATTCTTAGTAATGGACTAAGATAAGTAAACATAAGTGTGAACTCAAAGTGCATTTATACGTATAAAATGGACTTTTCAGGCTTTATGTACTGGAGTTACACAAAATTTCATTTAAAAAAGATTTTAGTGCTAAAAAATGTTTGGAAAATACTTCTCTATAAGAAACTGTCTTTAGGGCCGGCCCCGTGGCTTGGTGGTTGAGTGAGCGCGCTCCACTGCTGGCGACCCGGGTTCGGATCCCGGGCTCGCACCGACGCGCTGCTTCTCTGGCCATGCTGAGGCCGCGTCCCACATACAGCAACTAGAAGGATGTGCAGCTGTGACACACAACTATCTACTGGGGCTTTGGGGGGAAAAAATAAATAAAAATAAAATCTTTAAAAAAAAAAAAAAAAAAAAAAGAAACTGTCTTTAAATTTAACTTAATATAACATTTAATGTGATTTTGTGTTCAAATGAACTGCCTAATACATTTCAATTCTTAAATTACTCTGCATAATGGGAAAATGTCTACAAATTAGAGTGTTGCCTGTCTTAAAAAATAGTAACTTGTAAAAAATTAAGGAGAAATTATACTAAAAAATTCATAATTGCCTTAGACTCTTCTGATAGGCAGCTTTAAACAAGATTTCTATATTTGAATTAATATATTTATTGTTGTGTTTTATTTTTTAATCTCAAAATTCGTGTGTCCTCCATATAACACAATTTAGCATCTTTACACATCAACTGGTTTGTGTGTTTTGGTAGTTTAGGCACATTTCAATGATTTCAGATTTTGTGGCTTCATTATAAAGCAGCTTGCACACACCAAACTCAAACAATCTTTTTTATTTAAAAATCCACCTCAAAATTCACTTCCGGGTTTTAGTTTTTGTTTAAAAAGAAGCAAACATTTAAAAGTATCAAATGTTATATGAGTGTACAATTCCTCTTGTTATGAACATGTTCAGTCTGTGGAGTGGGGAAATAAACCCATTACCCAGATTAGGCACAGCACTACGGCCAAGAGGCCAGACATCAGGGCATATCTGTGTACTCAGGCAACAGTTAGAGGTCTGAATGAGGAACTGCTGCCTCAGTGCTGGGCACTCCTATCTCTACGCCCCCTCCAACTCTGTTAGTAAGTCTCAAATCCATACATGAGAGATCGTATGTAGTTAACAAATAAACAAACACACACACAAACTACTATACCTGCTTTCTAAATTACATTGCAAAGCCGAGACAGATCAATATAATCGTAGCCTCACTATATGTAATTTGTGGTCTTGATATCCATGTCACAGGACCATGTTACAGGTGAGACAGAATTATACGATTCCTCTGGTGGTTTCAGAAATCTGGCTGGAAGAGGTCCATGACTCTAAGATTTCACATTACAGTAAGGCTCCAATATTTTCTTGAATTGGGGCAGTGAATATAAATCACAGTACAAAATTCTTAATTCTTTTACTGGAAAAGCAATAGGTGCTACATATGAGAATCATTTATATAACATCTATTTTGTTTAAAAAAGACAGATATAAAATATTAATTGCATAGGGATTTAAATATAAGGCCGAGAAGAATATGAAGTAAAGTTAAAAAAAATCATAGGGCACTATGGTGTCAAAAGATTAAATTTCATTCTGAGAGTAATAAATCTGAGTTACTGTCTAATTAAAAAATCACAGTATGTTGCTATAACTAACAGTGAATGTCAACTGTTCCATTAATTCCAAACTGGAAACCAACATTAGGACCAACAGGAAAACAACTAAAGCTTGATGTCTAAACCTGATCAGTGTATTAGCACATCAGTGCCTGGTACGTACCTGACTAGTTATATAATCTACGTTTTGCAAATAATGTAAAGTTTCATACACGTTAATAAGTGTGACAGCACATATCACCCCATGCCATCAGTTTCGTAGGCTTACTTGAGAGCATAATTATTCAGTCTTTCCAAGGTGCAAGATTCCACCTGCCAGAATCTTCATTCAATGAATCAAAAACACTGTAATTAACAAAATATAATAAAGACCCACCACTGAAAATTAAATGTACATGAATCAGAGAACTAGGTCCTGACACAAGTACACACATTATCCTCAGCACTTTGTAAGGCAATGAATCATGAGGCCAACTATATTCTCTGGTCGTAAGCTAATAGTTTCCATTCACCTGAAGTTTCAGGTAGAAAGGTAAACTGTGAATTTACTTCTCACTTTAATGTTGTTAGACTGCAGTTTAAAGAGCAATTTCCCAATCTAAAAGTAGCTTAGTTAACTTAACATTGTTATATAGAGTAGTGTGAGGAAAAAAAGAACTCCCAAAGGAATTATGTTAAGGTACATTTGGGAATACCCAAACCAATGTTGTAAATGAAAAAGTGCATAAATACAGTAATACTAACAAGTGTGTTAACTATGAAACAAATGTTTCTCTGGGAGCTAAACATTACTATTTTCCCACATTATTTACATGTTATGAATCGTTCAGATACCACAAAGCACCATTTACAGTCAGAATTGCTTGATTATGTCTGGAAGGTCCTTTGACTTCCACTCTACTCAGTTGAGGATCTACCTAGAGTAGAAGTGTCAAATTATCTTCAAACAAGGTTTATCTTTACAATTCAGTTCTCTTTTGTTCAGAGACGGCAAAACAATATTTTCATTTCACACTCTTGGTTGGTGTCTCAGACTCTGTGGACTGTCTCCCATCTGTCCAGGCTTCCCGGGTGCTCTTTAGAGCCAGGGTCTTCTGTTGGTCAACCACGACATAATCCACTCTCTCATCTGCCACACTGCTGCCTGAGCCACTGCTCTTTTGCTAAAAAGCAAAGGAAAAAAACCCATAAAGTCCCACATATAAAGAGGTGCTTTTGAGTGAAATTCAGTCAAAACACAGACACACATGCACTGTGAATAATTCTTGAAACTCTATTGGGTCACAAAAAAATAACATTAACTACCTCAGTTGAACAATACTGTCTCTCTTCTAATTATACTTTTTTTTCCCCTTAAATTAAAAATTATTATACATAAGAATGCAAACTAACATAAACTAACGCATCTCAGATGAAATTCTCATAAAATAGGGATAGCAGATGACACCTGGTTCATCTTAAGATACACAACTGGCTTCTCCCTTCAGCCTTCAGCTTAAGCTTGACTTTTCCAAGTCCTGAGAACATGTATCAGTGTTGACTTTCAGAGCTAAGAAATGTGTTTTGAAAAGCAGTATTTCAAGAATGGCCAACTACATAGGCTGATGGGCCCTCTTAACTCCTAAAATACAACTAGATAGCAGCTAACTTAAAACAAATATAATTATTAATACATTGATGGGCTCACTAGAAAGTAAGAGAAGTACCCAAGGCATGAGGGGAACAGAGGGAGCAGAGAGCTGCTAAATGGTAAAGGCAGTATTGTCTTTAGGATGAATGTCACTCTCAGCAATGCAATCAGAAGGCCCTGGGTGGGAGGTCAGGCCAAACCCAAGACCATCCTGTTAAGCTAGGGGCCCTTGAAGGCAACTGAGGTGGTCCTTGGGTGGTAGCACAGCCTGCTTCCTAGCAGAAGCAAATGCAAGTTCTTTCTGAAGGAAATTGAGGTCTGCAGGATTCCCACAGACATGCTCAGCAAAATGAATTCACAATAAAAACGTATAAAACATAGAAGGAAACAAGCCATCAAGGATGTGAGTTAGCAGAACAGTAAACACAGTTTCAGACCTCCAAGGACTTCATATATTGAAATTATTGCATAAACAGTATAAAATATATATGTATAAAATGTTTAAAGGAATTAAAAAATAAAACTAAATAAAAAGAATAAAATAACATGAAAGAAATACAAAATTATTCAAATCAGCTGGCATATTTGGAAAAAAAAGCAGAACTTCATTTTAGAAATGAAAAATAAAATAACTGAAATTAAAAATTAAACAAGTGCATTAAACGGAAGAATTGAGAATTTGTGAACTTGGTAATGGATCTTCAGAAATTATCCAAGTAAGCACAAAGAGACAATAGGATAGAAAATATGTAAGAGTGATAAGAAATATGGGAAATAGAATGAGATGTTCTAACTAAAGTTTAATCAGAAACCTCAAGGAAGAAAATAAAAAGAATAGAGGAAATGCAATATTTAGAGAGATATTGACTGAGACTTTTCTAGAATTGATTAAAAAAATAGGAATCCAGAAATGAAGACAGCACAACTTCTACCAAGCAGGATAAATAAAAAGAAATCTATGTTTAGATGTCTAGACACATTGTCATGAACCTGAAGAATACCAAAGAAACAGAAAAGACCTTAACATCAGCCAGACAGAAAAGACAGATTACCTACAAAGGAACTGCAGTTAGACTGACAGCATACTTTTCAACAGGAACAATGGAAGCTGGATGATAGCAAACAGTATCTTCTACATGTTGAGAGAAGCTTATTGTCAATCAAGAATTGTGAACTCAAAAAAACTCTTTTTCAAGGATGCAGGCAAAATAAAGACATTTCAGTTAAACAAAAACTGCAAGAATTTGCCATTAACAGACCCCACCACCCCCCCGGAAAAGGAACTTCTAAAGGATGTATTTCAGGAGGAAGGAAAATGATTATAAAGGAAGGTCTAAGATACAAGAAGGAACGATAACAAAACAAGTTGGCTAAGGAAGGAAAATGCAAATAAACACTGTCTATATAATGAGAATAGTACTACTACTAATGTTCAATTTGTGGGTTTAACAAAAGGAAAAAACTAAAATTCCGGACAAAAATAGCACAGAAGTCAGAAGGGCAGTAATTTTGAGCTAACGCAGGAAAGCGAGTGAAGACAATGATTAACATTAGAATTTGTTAAGTAAGCATTTCAATGGGAACTGCTAAAAGAGTAGAAAGTATATAACTTTCATACCATTAGAAAGGAAAAAATTAATTTATTAGTTTCCATAACTAATAAATAGTTTGTTTACTTGTGATTTATGAAACAGCATTAAGTAATAGACTTTATTCTATTTAAACATACTAATAAAATTTCCCCAAGGGAGATACGATTCTTCAGGTTTAAAATGTGAGCGAATTGTACTTATAGAATGAGGCTTCACTTACCTTACGTGGTGGTGTGGATTTCCCAGAATCTAAATCTAGATCTAGGTATTCCACTTGTTTGTCTCCTTTGGGCTTGATCATAGGACTGCTTCCTCCATCAAGACTGTTACTGCCAAAAAGATTCTGGAAGCATAAAACAACAAAATCGACTGTCAAGTATTTGCGAGACATACTGCTTATCTTGTTTGTCATCTACTGAAGCCTAAATATTTATTTCAAGAGGACATAGCTTGAAGAAATGTCTGCTTAGAAATTAAATAATCTTTTAGGATGGGGGGAAAATAAGTAATATTAAAAAAAATTGATTAAGACAGCTTAGAGCGGGGCCGGCCCCGTGGCTTGGTGGTTAAGTGCGCGTGCTCCGATGCTAGTGGCCCGGGTTCGGATCCCGGGCGTGCACCGAGGCACCGCTTCTCTGTCCATCCTGAGGCCGAGTTCCACATGCAGCAACTAGAAGGATGTGCAGCTATGACATGCAACTATCTACTGGGGCTTTGGGGGGAAAAAATAAAAATAAATAAAATCTTAAAAAAAAAAAAAGACAGCTTAGAGCAAGCTAAAAGTAGTTTCAAAAGTCAAACTTGGTTCAAACTAAGACTGGGACATCAAGCTACAGTTAGTTGCAACAGCTCAACATGAACATTACTAAAATACTATCTCAATTACATTTTTTAACTACAGGATCCTTATACTTCTTGCTTTCAAATTAAATTTTTAAAGAAGTTCTATATTTCATTTAAAGGCTTTCACACTAAAATTAGTTTGGAATAAGTACGTTAAGTAAAGGCTATGAATAATCTCTATTGGCAAAGTCTGTTTTGTTTCAACCATCTGGAATTTTTACCACTTAATTTCCTGTCTTCTCTTAGCCTTATCCGTTCTTTCCTAACAGAACTTGCACAATAGAAGGACTATTCTCTAAAAACAGATAAAGAAAAAAGGAAGATAAAGGACGGGAATAAATAACAAGAACGAAAAAGCTTGGGGCAGAAAAACGAGAAACTGGCTACTAGGAACTCGAAGATCAATGCTAAACAAAAAGGAAAGGACAACACGAACTTACATCCCTACATACACTCACTACCCTAATTATGACAATCTCCTAAATGTGTTCCAACAAATGGCTTGTTTCCATGTCTTGCTTTTTTTCTTTTTTTGGGTGAGGAAGATTGGCCCTGGGCTAACATCCATGCCCATCTTCCTCTATTTTATATGTGGGACGCCTGCCACAGCATGGCTTGATGAGTGGTGTGTAGGTCCGCGCCAGGACACACCTACCTGTGACCCTCAGGCTACCGAAGTGGAGCGTATGAACCCAACCACTATACCACCGGGCTTGCCCCTTTGCCTTGCTGCTTTTAACCTCATCTAGAAATGTTCCTGACTTCTCATAGGCAAGACTATATATTCATTAGGGACTTTCATCCTTGTGCCCTCTATTGTGAAGATGTTAATGTTCACACATTATTGCAAACTTTTGAAGAAAACCATAATAATGTAATGAACTTAAAAATTTATACTTACTATGATGATGAACAAAACAATTTGGAAACTGCGTAAGTCTGATTTGTTGATTCTTTTATATTGCTACTCCATTTCATTTTGCTCAAGTTCAACAGAGTAAGCTGTGGTTTAGGGAAAGGAGAATTGCTAGAAAAATATTGAGTTTATTCCCCCATTTGTAAGCAGGGCTGCTGAGAGCCCGTGTGAAACATTTTTGTGAATTAGAAAAAGGTGTTCCTTCCTCTTGGGTGACACAGCTCTGTGCCAGGGCCCACGGCCTGGTGAGCAGGACATGGTCTGGATTGCACATACTCACGAATGCAGTACGTGTGCAGCCTACTGTACATAGATACTGTATGCAGTATGATTATGCACTAAACGACCCACACAACTGAGTGTGATGGCCCTATTTCTAGGAACAGATTTTTAAACCAAACGTATCAACTACTGCTAACAAAACATCAAAAAAAAATTGAAAAAAAATATTGACAGAAACAAGTAGGGCACAAAAAAATGAAAGCAAGTTTTGGTGCTCAACTAGTACAAGAAGCCATTCTCAGGCCAGCCCCGTGGCTTAGCGGTTAAGTGTGTGCGCTCCGCTGCTGGCGGCCCGGGTTCGGATCCCGGGCACGCACCGACGCAATGCTTCTCCGGCCATGCTGAGGCGGCGTCCCACATACAGCAACTAGAAGGAAGTGCAGCTATGACATACAACTATCTACTGGGGCTTTGGGGGAAAAAATAAATAAAATTAAAAAAAAAAAAGCCATTCTCCTCCCCTGCTTTTTTTCTAATTCATGAAGAAACTAAAACTTTTTCTCTGAATGACTCCATATTTCATTCTCATAAAAAAAATCAAGCAGGAGTGTATGTGTGTGTGTGTAAAATTTTGTATTTAAATGTGACCAACAAAAAGAACCCATACCTGGAATTTCCCTAATTGGAAACGCCCAGAATTGTTCATAGTATTGCAAGGCTATGAAAGGAACCCATGAGTTATATGATGTACACATTCAATCTCAATAAGTTGTTCCTAAAGAGAATTTCTCAGAATTGCTAGTTACTGTTTTCTGTTTAATTATTATTAGAATTGGAAATATTTTCATCTTTAAGTATTGTTAAAATTTGTGTCCCTACGAGGAAGTCTATTTGCTCTTGATCTAATCTCAACTGGGAACAGCCTGTCTCTGTGTTGTAGCCTTTAACCCAATGTTTTCCCAGAACAGTTCAGAAAAACCCTAAGATTCCAGGAGTTATTATAAGCGCTTTGTGAATTAAAAAAAACAAAACACTAGTGCTTTGTTTTTCTAAAATTCTTTTTAAAATATGTGAAATTATGGAACATATTTTTGTTGTTACGTCATTGTTATATAACAATATTTATGTTTTTAGTAATGATGTCCCATCACTCGAATTTCAGGTATCACATTAAGGGTTCACTTCACAAATGCTTTACTTCAGATCTCTGTGTAAAGGAATAGGCAGCATCACCAGTTCACTGTTAGACTGTGCCTACTCCATGATCACCAGTACAGGAAATGCACCATGCTTCAAAATTTCAATGCATAGAATTCAATCTTCATTGTATAAACCAGATTGGATTGGATTGGATCCTGTCTCAACTTCTCTAAGACGACTTTTTTACTGACTTCATCAATCCAAGCAGATTAGATCTTGTGAATTTCTGTGGTATTCCATTAATACACTAAGTTTCAAGAGGTGGGGAAAATATTGCTGTACCTGTCACACTCTTTTGTAAGGAAGAGTTGTCTGGACTTTGAGGAGCCCTGGCAGTTGGTAGCATGAGGAGACAGAAATGACACAGTTGACTTTTCTACTGTGAATGGTAGACGGCTATTTGCACCTAGGACATTTTTGCTTATTTCTAACACTTAATGACCTAAGTACTTTAGAAATTCACCAGCTGGTGGTTATTTAGACACCTCTACTGGCAGGTAAAAGCATCTTTCTGGCTTAATGTTATAAAGTATAAAAGAACAATTTTATATTTTTATTTCCTTTGACTTTCTGATTGTAACATTTTTCTTTCTAGTCTTTTCCCTTCACCTAACACTTACTCATGACAAATCATATGTTCAAATTTTCCTATGATACGTCCTTTCCAAAAATTTTATGGTTATTTACTATTTTGGGCAAAAGGATAGACTCTTTAGTATCTCAGAAAATAATTACTTTTGTAATAAAAGAATTTATTCAACCACCTAAAGATGAAAATTGATGACAATACATACTCTGATGTAGCACTGAGGATTTACTTAGACTCTTACTAGAGACTATTTACTGTAATGAAGAAAAAAAATAAAGTTAATAAAAATAAAACACCACTCATCAAGTTGAAAAACAGTGACTCCAAAAGCAGAAGTCAATTAATAAAAACTACCCTGCCTTGAAAAATTAGTGAAAACATTATTGATATAGTTTGTATTCTAAGTCAGGGCTGAGACAAATATTTTAAATTATCTTATTCATTTTTGAACACTTTATAAACTTGATAAGATTTTAAAGTTAAATTAGTTTAAGCACCAAATCGAGCTTTTCAAATCACTTAGTTTTGTTCCCTGACAACATATGGTTGTGAGGAATGGGTTTTTGCCTAAAGTCCATTAAACGTGTAAAATAAAGTCGTTGATAGAATTAGACTTTATATTTTGAATCTCTAAATAGGACTGTTTTAAAGAAAATAAAGTCACTAAAACGTTACTCCTTCCAAATTTTGACATTAGATACTTGCTGATCCTGGCAGACACTGCCCGGTTGTGCCCCAATATCTGTTCTCCCCACTCCCATGTGAATGGGATTTCTAGCCAGGCCCACTGTCCCTCAGAACAAAGGCTATGTTTTCCAGCCCCCTTCGTGTCTGTGTGGCCACAGAGACTAAGTTCTGGTCAACAGTTTGTATACGGCAGTTCTGAGAACCTTCTTGATGTGGAAGTTAGGCTGTACCCTTTGCTTCTTTTCCCTTTCCTCCACTCTGCAGCTTGGAATGTGAGTATGCTGGCTGGAGCATCATTTGTTCTATGAGCATGTGAGCCATACCCAGGGGACAGCAGATTGGAAAGCTGGAAGGGCCGGAATCCCTGAGGGCTCTGTAGAACAGTGCTGCCATAACAACCCTGGATTGACTCTCTCTAGACTTTTACATGAGAAAGAAAGAAAGGTCTGTCTTAGGTCGCTGCTAATTTGTTTATTTTCTGTTACTCAGAGGGTGAACCTAATCCTAACTGATATACTTATCTACTAAAATACAAATAACAGAGCAAGCATTGGATCTGATTTAAGGAAAAGTAAAAGCAAAATATTTTAAGAAATTGAAATTGGCTTGCACTCTTAAACATCTGAAGTACTTTCTGGCAACCATCTGATTTCTGGGAAACAGAATGCTTGCTACTACTATAAAATTCTTGTGCCTTGTGGTAACACAGCTAGTCTGAAACAAATTAGGTTTGTAACAGGTCTTCTTTAACCATTAAGCCTCATCTACGGGCGCATTATTGAAAGATTATCAAAAGGTCTTCCGTATATGATCATTTCACCCTAAGAGTGCCCTGACGTGGGCCTGGAGAACTGTATTATAAAATGCTTCCAGGATAAAGTATTTTCTTGAATAGTTTCAAAAATCAAGTACATCTTAAAAGAAATATAACTGGAAACTTAGGATTTTTAACCAATTTATATCTACTTTATAAATATTGATATTACACTTTGACCCTTACTGGTTTTAGACTTTGTGGTACTATTTTTAAAAAGCATTTTAAAAAGCTGTCTTTTATCCTTTTTCCTTAAGTATATAAAGAAAGATGTAAGGGTATAATTTATGGACTGGAAGAAAGGTTCTCGCGTGAATGATTTAGGAGGGCTGCCCAGGAAGAGAGAAGTTAAGCTGAAGACGTCACATACCGAGTCTTCACTGGACAGGTTTGGGTTCATGGGAACATAATTCTCTTCACTGTCGTGCGAGTCACTGCTTGAAGTTGTGCTGTGCACTGAATCCGGCCGGGGGGACAGGGGAAACCTAGAGGAGCTAATTACAGAAATAATCATTACAAACATAAACCTTGACAAAAATTTCTAAAATCACTTCCAAAATAAAAATGAGCGATAGTTCACACTTTCAGAAATATTCAAGTTTACAGTCATTTATTGTAGACATTTATTATAAAACAATTTATTGCACACATTCAAATGTACAACTAATATTTACAGCTATATTGTAAAAGTATATTTGTGGGCATCAAATTACCTTGAGTAGAACAAAAAAAAGTATTGCTAGTGATTTGAGGGATAAGTAGAAAGTCACAGATATAAAAAGGAAGATTTAAGAATTCCTACTAATAAAAACCTAGCTATATGTATACACAAAACATGAACACATATTCAACACAGGTTTATAACTTTATATATTCTTTTCATTCCTCTATATACATATAAATAAATCTTGATTAAATAACCCCCACAAAAAACTACTATATTTTCCATATCAGTAGTTTTCAGAAATTTCTATCCTCATGAACTCTTTACATTCTTAAGAATTATTGAGAACCCCAAGGAACTTTATTTATATGAGTTATATGTGTTGATATTTACCATTATAAATAATAGAAATTTTTTAAAAACAAAAGAAACACAAATACACATTCTATTAGGTGTCACAACAATATCATGAAATATTACGTAGCCTGTGGAAAACTCCAGTGTATGCTCCTGGGAAAGGAGAATGGAAGAGGCAAATGACATCTTACTATCCTAATGAAAATAGTTTTGACTTCACAGAACTCCAAAGAGGGGGGCTCCTGAGACTATCCTTTGGGAACCAACATTGTAGATATTTTCCACTATAATGAACAATCAACCTACATTATTTTATTTATTTATTTGTTTATTTTGTGAGGAAGATTGGCCCTGAGCTAACATCTGCCAATCCTCCTCTTTTTGCTGAGGAAGACTGGCCCTGGGCTAACAACCCTGCCCATCTTCCTCCACTGTGTATGGGACGCCGCCACAGCATGGCCTGACAAGTGGTGCGTCAGTGCGCGCCCGGGATCAGAACTGGCGAACCCCGGGCCGCCACAGCGGAGCTCGCGCACTTAACCACTTGCGCCACCGGGCCGGCACCCAACCTACGTTATTTTAAAGACTTACTCTCGAGCAAAACTCCTAGTGATGGGAGATCTAACCGGGGCTTGTAATTCTTCCCATTCTGGCAAAGGTTTTATTTCTAAAGGTGCTGGCTTGGCTGAAACAAGAGAGAAAAAGAGATTTTAGCATACAGAAATTTGGAAAACAAAACAAGATCCTCTCTCTATATGTCTATTTCTATGTTACAGCCAGAGTACACCTAAGATCAGCTAACTTCACACATGAAATGAGGTTCATGGATGTTATGTGATTTGTCCAAGGTTACATAGCTAAATAATTAGCGGCAAAAGCTAAATCAGATAATGTTTCATGACTGTTGACTCAAAGTCTAAAGCTCTACTATAACATGTTGCTTCTTAATTTAAGTAAATATTTTATGAATATAAACTAAATGAGAAAAAGAAAGAGTAATATGACCCAATTCTTTTACAATTACTTGATTTACACTTTTCATTATTTCCTTATTTCCACTAATTTTATCCTCACATATGGAGATTTAATCTTCTTTTTAAAAACATTCCTATTCTTCAATATCGAAGCCTCAGTTATACAACTATACATATAAAATCATGTATGGAAAGTATTAAATGCAAAACTTTAACCAAACCAAAAACCGAAAAAAGAATTAATGACCAAATCTTTTAAATTAATTCATGCCAAGTCTGGAAACAAATAAAACAAAGCAATAAATTATCTTTAGATTCAAACTCAGTTCTGTGAAAAGGTCATAATTAAACAATTACCTCAAATTTTTAGCTTGATTTAACCAACAATATCCTTTACCAAATTAAAGAAAAATAAATGCTAATATTTTATTAGCTTTATTTAATAATGGTCTTTACTTATTTACCTCATTATTGTAGTAGACAATTACTATGCTAGTACATAACCACAGAGCTCTCAGCCCTTTTCTTAAAGTCAAGACAGACATTTTTCAGAAATTTATGAAATGTGCAAAAGAACTAAAACAATATTATTTCTTAATATTCATTATATATTAGGAGACTATTTAAATACATTAGATAAATATTTTAGTTACATTTCATCCTGCCGTTCTAAAAAATTTGTTTTCATTTTTCCAGGTTTCCTCCAAGTCTTTGTCCATATGCGTGTAATTTTAATCAACTATGTTAGAATTACCAACAAACTATAAAATAGGTAGTCATTTTAAAGGACTATGTAGATTCACTGAGGCTTATAACTATTTTTTGTCAACTCAAATACAAAAAGCTCAATGTGATTTTCTGAAGACTAGATTGATTTATTTAAGTTCGAGTTAATTTTGCCCATCTGTACACTTAAAATGGACATATATAGAATATTGTGCTGACAGAAAGTATTTCTTTATGTTTTACTTTTTTGAAACCCAAAGGCTAATGGCAGTTTAGCTGTCAAATTCTAAGTAATGGCATAAAATAATTAATCCATGGAAATGATTCTGTATTCTGTCTCAGAATAAAATACATACACTATATAAGTACAGGAGACAACTGGAACTCACAAGCAGTTCACAAGCTTAAAGAAAACAATGTATTGATGTGTAAAAGGTTAAAAGAATAATGCAAAAAGACAAGACTCAATATCACATATTATCAAATATTTAACATGCTGCTGTTAATGGGCATAACAAGCAGATTCACCATGTATTATGGAAAGCATTCACTTTAGAAATAACGTGCTGGGAAGCTTTATTCACAACAGTAGTATTTAAGACTCTTCTCCTTTACTTTTTAAGAAAAAACATCACAAAACAAATAAATTCCCAACGCCCCATCCAGCATGCGGTGCTAAAGTACATACCCTTTCTTCTTGTAGCAAAGTCACCTATGGTTTGTGAATCAGTTCGCTCTAAACCATGGGGTTTGGGTCTTAAAATTTTAGGACTTTGACCTAATTGGTAAAAAGAAGACTCTCTTAATATAATGTTATTTTTTAATTGGAAAGATGGATTCTGTAAAAAAGCAACAGAGCCCTGAGCAGAAATGTTACATTTCAAAAGCATAAACAAAAGTTCGTGGAGAATATTTCAATCCTGTTACATATCACTCATGCTCAGTACAATGGAAAGGAGGAAGCCGCATGCAACAATGTAATAAGCAAAGTGTTATAAAAGATGGTAGGGTTTTAGTGGGATAACCAGCCTGGTTAGTTGTTATCTTTATTTGGGAGAAGGGAGAAAAAACACGTGCCATGTTAATTATTCTTCTAACATGTCTTAGAAAACTGGACCAAATAAAAAATTATAAAACCCCTCAGTCAGATCTCAATTAACATCTTTTCTTTGAAGTTTGGCGTCTCAAAAGAAAGTACCAAGGCCCACTTCCTTACAATATTACTTTCTTAATTTGATAATTTGTTTTAAAAACCTTAATCAGACTATTCCCTCACCTCATAACCTAAGCCCTTCTAGAGGAGCAGGTGGATGTTACAATGTTTACTAATCCAAGACCAAAAACAGGACCAACATTTGTTTCCTCTGGATACTCAGTTGCTGCCTGGTGACATCACTTGGCAAGGATTAGATGTCTAGATTCTCAAACTGTTGACTGTCTAGTTTCAATTTAAGTATTTGAAAGCATAAATTCAGTTGGCATCATTTTCTTTTCATTTACTCTCTGCCACATACAAGTACTGCTGAAAGCCTATGAGAAGTACAGGGTTAACACCCACCAGTTGGCCTCCGACTTTTTCCCATAGGAAGCCTGGATGCCAGAGTAGCAATATCATTTGAATCAGTAATTCAAGCTACTCTACTCACAACGGCACCAAATTTTCTTTTTTCTTGGCATTTACAAAGTTGAGTCGACATCTACTAGACGGCAAAATTAGAATTTGCTGATTAAATGCTGACATCTAGCTCTTGACCCAAATCTAAAAGTTTCTTATAATGTGATTCTCCAAGTTATAAAAAAAAAATGAAAATTCTCTAATTAACCAACTTTCTAAGTTAGACAATTAATACACTGAGTTTATTAAGAAGTGAGGCAGGCCTAGGTTAAAATGTCAGTGCTAAAATTTGGGGCCATGATCCTACCCTAAGGCTGACCTACCCACGGCCCATGCCGCAGGGCACTTTTCTAAAATAAAAGAGGATGTCAGCTTCTTAAACTCCTCAAAGTAGTGTACCTCCTTTTGTTTTACTATAGAAAAATACATTTATCGTAGAGGTGAAAGGTCCTTTCAGACCAAATCCAGTTCTTGGTTTTATGGATGAGAAATCCCTGGAAACAAAAAAGGTTAAGTGACTTGCTCAGGTTACAGCATCGGTCAGAGGCCAAATTAAGGCTTCCTCTTGCCTCCTACCTGCTGGTGTCATGCTCCTGTGCTATATACCACGTTACCTTACCTCTCTTTCCATTTGGGAAATAGAGAATCTTAGGAAATCAGCGTTCAGAGCTCACTTTTGAACTCCTCAGTTCACTTTGGGATCTCACATCTGCGTGAATGCCACAGACGGTTGATATGTGAGTGATGTGATATTTAATAATTGCAAACTGCTTTTATTTTTTTATATTTTTATTTTTGTGAGGAAAGTCAGCCCTGAGCTAATATCCATGCTAATCCTCCTCTTTTTGCTGAGGAAGACTGGCTCTGAGCTAACATCTATTGCCAA